CTCTCTCTCTCTCTCTCTCTCTCTCTCTCTCTCTCTCTCTCTGGGGGTGCGGGCGAATAATTCGATTCGCATTAACGATTTCTCTCGATGGGGCGCGGATCCGAGGGTGTACGTACGGGTCTCCTATTAAACACGATACTCCATTTGTTTTGATACACTTTTTGATACACGGCCGCGCGATCGATCCGTTCGTGGCGTCGCATGCGCAACGAACGATCGCGCTCAACGAACGTGCCCGGTCGATGTGCCGGCCACTTTCCATGTTTTCGTACGAATCTCTCGCGACAACCGACCCTGGTTATTACCGAGATTGTCACCGGATTGTCACCGGGACGGAAGAGGACTCTGTGCGCTCGGTGCTTAACACTTGTTGGCCCGTCTGAATATTGAAAAATGCAGCCCGCGGCCGTTGCGACATAAAATTGTCGTGATATATCGATATACGATATAAAATGGGAAGACACGATGTTCGAGTATTTTAAGAGTCAATTTCAAGATATTGAAGAGATAAAATAAACCCGAGTATAAGAAAGTTAAATATAAACTGTACCTTGGTCCGAAACTTTGCTTATTAACAGCTTAAGATGTAGAATATTTCTGCTGAAAAGTTCGATTAAAATAACCTTAATAAAAAGTCTGGAGAACACTAATTATACCATATTGGGACGTAATATTCCGCACGCAATTTATTTTATTTTATTGTTACGGACTTTAGTCCGCTTGTTCAAAAGTATACTTTGCTTCACAGTCGCTGCATTTAGTGCATTAGGCCATTGTTTCATTCATGAGGAATGCTATTATTAGTTCTATATAATTCAACTCGTCATAATATTTTGTAATTATTTTTATATTTACATTCTCATAGTATAGACAAATTTAGAATAGTCATGTAAATTTAGAATTTATAACTCAAGCTATAAAATGTTCGTTTCTAGTAGATATTTTTTCTTTAATAATTCATCATTAGATAATATGTAATTCAGTATTTAAATTGAAGTTTTTAAATTCTTAATATAGAAATAGAAAACAATTTTCGAAGCATGGATTTATGTTTTCTAATATGTTAAAAATGTATGAGAATGGAAGCTGTCTACGGATAATCAACAAATAACTATATAAAGCGTAAGTATCAGATTATCTCTTGTAGAACACGAGAGTAGAAATTCCATAGCTTGTCGCTTGAAAAATCTTAATAAAAATTACATATTTTTAATTCGTGAGTATAGATAGACTCTATTAAGACCGCATTAGACAGTGAGATCTATAATTATCTCCGGCATTCTCGTTCACGCGAAGCATTCAATCTCTTCATCTGATTATTAATTGAAAAGACTATTTTTAGATCAAGTCTAAACATTCGTCGCACTACTCGATCCCGATTTAAACGAATTCTTTTGTATCGAATTATTGACGAAACGGTCAACGTACTTCCCGCGGCTCACTTCGGACTCGCTATTCGTAGAATCTATTCTCATATTTTTCAAGCAGTATAAATTTCCGCCTACGAAATATAAACGGGTTGACGTATAGAATAACTCGCAAAAATGTTAAAACGGTTTTGATACCGCGACGGTTATAAGTACGCTGACATGATAGGATTAACCATAACGATAATAGACGTAATTAAACGCGATGTGTCGAGATTTAGATACTATGTTACCTCGGTAATACAATTATGATATATTTACAAAATATACATAGTAAAACATATAATTTTAAATTTTTGATAAAAAATTGTGATTTTTAAATTTCTGATAAAAAGGGAATTTATTATAATCAAAAATTCTACAAAATATTTACTTATTTATCGTCGATTTCGTGAATCTGTTTGCAAAACTCGTAAATATAGTAAACAGAAAAAAAGACAAGAAGAAAAGAACCTTGATCTCACATCTCACTTTGATGATAACCGTATCTATACGTACATTCCGTCGTATATCCGTCAAATTACTTCCGACGAAAACCCTCGTGGCTAATGCCTAATGGAGATCTTGTCTTTTGAACTACAGGCACGCAACAAACCGGCGGATGGAGTGGGTCATGTAAACCAAAAAGGTGCTTCCGGTCAGAAAGCGCCGGCGGCTGGTCAGAAGGTCGCGCCGGGTGCTAAGGTCGCGGCGAAACCGGCCCAAAAGCCGACAGCTCAGAAAGGCCAAGTGAAAGTGACACCTAAGGCGGCCTCCGTGAAGACCGGCAAGAACAAGAAGAAGGGACAACGGCAACAGTATGATCTCATCGTTACCATTAATCTGGTGAGCAACAGCACGATTTTTATCTCTTCAGGATCCTAATACGTGGCTCAATATTGCCAATTATTTAAGAAAACCATGACTTCCCTTAAAATTTTTCCTAAAAGTCACCTTTGATTTGGTAAGGATTAAATTATGCAACAGCACGATTTTTATCTCCTCAGGATTTTAATACATGGTTCAATATTGCCAATTATTTAAGAAACCATGACTTCCCTAAAATTTTTCCTAAAAGTCACCTTTGATTTGGTAAAGATTAAATTATGCAATAGCACGATTTTGATCTCCTCAGGATTTTAATACATGGCTCAATATTGCTCAATTATTTAAGAAAACATAACTTTCCTTAAAATTTTTAAAAATTTTTAAAAGTCACCTTTCGATTTGGTAAGAACCGAATTGAAAGCTGAACTTAATATCTCTCTCGAATATCTCTTACGAGGGTTGAAATTGTCTGAGAAATGTTATTGCCGTGTACGACCAGCTAATTCCGATCGATTATTCAGCCCTTACCAACCCTAAGGTCATTAGCACGATCTTCCCAAACGATTTGCATTTGAATAGGTCACTTAATTATTTTGTGTTCATAGAGGTGAGAGCGAAGTTATCGGTGGCTCGTGATGGATCGAATTACGTCAGCCGCCTTTGTCAACGTGGCGTGCGCTTCGCGTAATGCGTGCACATCGGCAATAAATATGGCACGATCTGACCCAGTTGAATACGCGATGAGCGATCGATAAGTTTCTTCATGTTCGGCTAATATACGCCGCGCGTACGACGCGATGTCAAGACACACCGAAGGAAAATAACACCGTACTGTCATTTACTCGGATTGGCATAATTAGCGACAACTCCCCGATCGCATTGCTCCATTTTGGGATGATATTTCCGGTTGAGACTGCTGACAACATCAAATAGATTTGATATTTGATCTCATGCAAATTGCATGTGCACAGATTCTAGTATACAATTATTCCTTATAAACTCGTGTTATTATACGGCTAATTATTTATTACGCATGCCTCGTTTTATGCGTTTCGTATAATTTTCTCATTACATACGTAAAAATAGCCATTTATCGAGAATTTTATTTTCTTTTATATCTGTAAATAGAATTTAATTGTTATTTTAAATTATACTATAAATGTAATTTTTTAAAATTAATTGCTGTAGATATCAATTTATATTTAGAAAATTATTCCGATATAAATTATTTACCTATATTAACATATTTTTTAGTGGAAATACTTTAAGTAATTTTGTATGAATACTGTAAATAAATTTTTATCGATGTTAAACGGTGCTGTGTATGCTGTGTATTGATTGAATATTTTTTGTTATTAATATTATATAAGCAATTATTAATATTATTCTTTTAGATCTATTATGTTTGAATATCTAAATATAAATAATTTTATAATAAAAAAAGGAGTTAGAAATTTTACATATCAGTAGTCTGTCTTTTGCAGTAAAATATGTAAAAATTAAAAATTAATTCTCTTAATTTATGTTACAAGACCAATGCAAGGCAAGTTACATAAATTTTTTTCAAATTTTGCAAACATGAAAAAGATTTGAATTATGAAGAGTTGAATTGAAAACAATACGAATGGTTGTCGGAAGCGCATCCCTGTACTGGGAAAGCGGAAAAATGACACAACGAGCAAAGTATCTGTTCGTGCAATCTCGGGAAATGGGGAAGGGAGTAGTCACACCTAGCATCTAACCGTAGAGGGGACCTCGTAGTTAAAAACAGACTAAGGTTGCCAAAGAGAGTCCCGAACACACACGGCTTTGTCATCTGTGTAGACATCTCTCTTGTACCCGACTTGTGCTCGACCACCAAAGCTCAGAAAGCCGCGGCAGCGAGTCTTGTGTCACCGTCGTCTTCGAGGCGCACGCGAAGTAAACGATCGCGTGTACGATCGCGAGGAATTTTTCAAGAGCGAAGCGAAGCGACGTGGGAAGCGAAGCGAAACGGAAACCGGCACATTCCTCAACTTCACCCGCTCGAAATCGCGGGAAGCGCGAAGTTCGTGCTCCGAGCACGCGTATTTCTCTACTTGCTTAACGCACGACGGCGGCAAACGGCTATTTTTACTCATCCGTGAGCTATCGCATCCTCGAGTAGTGTCGCCCGTGTGATTGCCGCGGAATATTGTGCACATCGGCCGCTTGATCCGACTCGTGATCGTCGACTCTCGGCGTTTCATCTTACCGGAGAAATACGAGGGACGAGGCAAGGACGGGCCTTAGAATCGCCTCCCTCGGTCGTCCCAAGCGTCATCTTCTCGGATTTTATCCATCCGAAAAGTAATCGTGATCGACGGCGAGAAGCCTCTTTCGGTGTCTTTCGGATATGACCTCTCTCTGTATCTCTCGGTACCAGCGGCGGCCTTGAAAGAGAGCTCGTAGTCGATAAATATTAGTTCGGCTCCGAGCAGTTTCCGACGAATCCGTCGCGCCGCGAATACATATATACATATATACATATATATATTATATATCTACATATACGCTTCGATCCTCCCCATCCCGGGAAAGCGCAGCTTACGCTTTCTTTTTCTTTTTCTTCTTACGCATCGACGGAAACACGTCGCACGTGACGCTTTCTGTAATGGGAGCGAAATATCGTCTCGACGGCGACACGACGGTAATAGCCACAAGATGCAGACGTAGCCACGGAATTCGCAGTTAACGTCTTCGCAATAATCTCGCCAACGGACACTTCCGGCGCATATTCCTCGGCGTGACACGCGACCATGGCGGAAACGGAAAAGAGATACACTCACGCGTATGGACAGTTGCGTAGATTGACGAGCACGATAGACGGTCAGATTAGACAGTTGAGCGTAAGTAAGAATACAGAATCTTTCTGGAGAACTCAACGCGCGTGAGACACGTGAGAAAATTAAAAAAAAATTCTCTTCGAGAAAATCGTGAGATCGTCAATGAAAATTAAATGCGTGGAAATTAAAAAAGAAAATTTTCTTCGGGAGAATCGTGAGACCGTCATTGAAGTGGAACACGTGGATATTAAAAAAAATTTTTTCTTCGAGAGAATCGTAAGACCGTTATTGAAATGGAACGCGTGAAAATTAAAAAGAAAATTTTCTTCGGGAG